AAGCAATTGCACACCTGTGTAACCCATTTGCCACAGGACATCTGCCTGCAAAGTCTGAGCAACCTGGCGTGGGATAGCTCTCAGCAAACGCCTGCTTGAATGTCGGCCCGTTGCATGCCAGAAACCAGAACCTAAAGAAAGACTTGCTCTTCTCAAGGGACGAGATGATTGCCATTTCTGAGTCCACCTGGTCTCATTGCAGTGCAGTGTAGGATCAGCTGTGTATAATCAGAAGACAGAAAACAATAGAGGAAATGAGGAAAAATATGCTTTTATTTTTATGCAAATATACAGATCTCACTGTTACCTTAAAACAAAAATTTTATACGAGCAAGCGCCCGCTACCCCAAAAATACTGGTATCAGGAAAATCAGTGAAAAATTCAATTTTATGCACTAGGGGATAGAGTTGCCCATAGTGTCTGGTAAGCAAGTGCTGCAAAGGAAATGTTTCTGCACTGTAGGTGAACTCACTGTCACACTCCAGCAAAAGAACAGCAAGTCCCTAACAAATAGGAAAAAGAGTACAATGCTATGAGTTAAAGAAAACTCACAAGGCATTGCTGCCTTCTCATTTGTGTAATGCTAAACTGAGTATCTTAAGTAAAATCCAATGGATTTYTCCAAAATGCATCTCATGCAACCACAGAGAAAATTACTTACACTCTGAATATTTGAGGGATCGGAAGACCTTCCGCTGAGGTGTTACTCGCTTGATGTTTGGATGATCTTCCAGGGTCAGTACTCCATCCTTCTGCTTCTCATTGATCTGAATCACCTCAAAATCACTAGGATAGTCACTGGCTGGGTTGTTGCGAGGTACGATCCTCCAGTTCTCAATATCACTGCTCTTTAGTGCACTTGAAATAAATTTACTTCTAGCTTTAGCTGTGAAGTATCCATTAAAAGCCACAATGTACTCTGGAAGGAGAACACAGCTCTTCAGAACTCGTGCTTGAACAGTACTCACATCAAAAGAATCCAAATATTTCTATCTTCCAAATGAAAATATTTAATAAAGGAACTGACATAATATGGGTCTACTAATTTTGCCAACTTGGTGAAAAGCATTAAGGGCACAAATTCTAATATGCAGTATCATGCCTGTCAAAAAGCTCAGTTTTAAAATATCAAACATTGGCTCGAACCAATGGTTGGATAAGAACAAATAGCTGTTTCTATGATTTTTTTTTTTCTTTTACAAATTTCCAATTTATTTCTGCACTTCTTCTGCAAGTTTCTTTTCGGATCATGAAATACCCAAAACATGGTAAAGATATTTAAAACGATGGTAGAATTGTAAACAACATGAAAAGGTTAAACAATGGGGCATGCAGAGCACAGGGGAAAAGAGAACCAAATTACAGTTACATCCAACTGTACAGACAACTGTGCTCAATATATATTCTATATATACAGACAACCATCTTCAATTAGCAACAGCAAATTTCAGACACCATCTATAACACATAGAGCTCTGAGCTGGTGCCAACAGTCCTTTATCTGGATAAATAACTTGTGGGTTCATCTCAGCCCCAGCACACACCACATTCACCCTGATGAGCTCTTGGTTAACTGGGCACAAACATGTGGTCATGGATTTTCTGCCTGTAGGCAGAAGGAAAACTAYGGTTCCTTGACAAGCAGATGCAGAGTCAAGGCATAAACTGAGGACAGCTAAGATGTGGACTTCTAAGACTGAATCAGATAAGCCAGGATACTACACGAACCTGAAGTCTGAACTATTAGCACAGAAGTAGACACAAAAAAAAGCCTCTGCACATCCTTCCAGATCCTCTTGTCTTTTTAAGAGCTATGTAACAAACTATATGAATTTATTGTTCACCTTTCTACCACATCCCTTTGACATTCATTCATTAACCAATCTGAAGCTATCTCTGTTAATCATTTCAGCATCCTCCTTATCGCCCTCCTTCTTCCCTTTCTTCTTCTGAGAATCTTGTCTCCAGCTAAAGTGAGAAATTTGGGGGTGAAATCTATCTGAATACAGAGAATTAGCAGAGGATTCTCTAGCTACAGACTCTCCATTCACACAAACACCACAGATCAGTAACAAGCACTTGAACTTCACATGTATTTTTTATCAATTCTTTATTACCGTGCTCCACGACTGTCGAAGTGAATTCCACTTTCAAAGTAAGGCGAGAACATCCAGGACATATGTGGGCCTCRTGAGAGGAATTTCCTAGTCTGGTACCAAGGTGCTTCTTGCCACAGAGTAAAATGACAACCAGAACAAACCAGATGTCTGCAAACTTCATGGTCATAGAAGAAAATGGTTTCATTTCAAAAATTCCATATATTCAAATCACTCGTTTCTTCTTTGTAAACTAGTTCATTTTTGTTTCAGCAAAGGTTGCTTTCACTGTGCTGTTCAACCGTATATTCTTAAAGCTGTGTCCAAAATAAGTCGAGATTTCATGGTCTTTTGAGGTAAAGCCTAATGAACAGGCTCATTTCTTTCTACGCTTTTTCTCCATTTTGCCTTACAGGATTCGTCACTCAGGATGCAGTAACTGAGTCCTGTACTCCATTTCGGCTCGAAACGTTAACCCACCAGAAGACTTAGCAAAGCCATTTACAAGCTAACCTGTAAGGCAAGGCAGTAAATAAAAGGATTAGATTCATGCTTTTGTATATGCATAAACTCAAAATCACATCCCAAAAAAGTATGTTCTGCAGCCACAATCAGAAAAAAGGCAAAAGAGTTGCTCATATTTCATTCTGTACTTTTTCAAAAATGCTCTTAAGCATGTATTACTGTGTATTAATGTGTATTACTGTGCTAATGGAACAGGCAGCCATGACAAACTCTTCAATCCTTTTGCAAGGGGAGAAAAGAAAAGCATATGCAAGGTCCAATATAAGCTAAGAATAAAGAGCGAATTATAAAATTAGCATTATAAAAATGTCCATGTTCACTTGAAAAGAATTTTTCTTTCATTGGAAAAGCCTGAAAAATGAATGTTGAACAGTGAATGTTCAAAAATACTACTGCTACTGTAAACAATCTTACACAAGGAGAATTAGGTTCCAGCTCTGCTCCAGGCACTAGCAAAAACACTACTAGAAATACTCCGCAGCGCAAACTTTCAGTTCCTGTGTTTGAAGAAGAGGATCAGAATGGAAAAAGTCTTTCAAAATATCTTGAGGTGGAACACGGGTTACCACTACGTGGATATCTAAGAAAACAAGGGTAGGGCTTACGAAAGCTATAATGTGAAACTAAAGAAATGGGCTGCTGTGTYTTCCACCAAGAGGAAGCCCTCATCCCTTGCACTGAAGCAGAGGAAGGATTCAACAGAAGTTGCCCTGCTAGCATTTTTGAAACCCCAAACACTAAACGGGCCGTTAAAACACAAGGGGCAGCACAACGTTTTTCTCCGGGTGCTGTGGCAGACCAGGCAAACAGAACAGAATTATACATTTCTGCTGGGACCCRAGGAGTCAGCAAAAGTTATATTAGGCACTTCACCCTATTTGTGGGGAACGCTGACCACACACCACAAAAAAAAAAAGGAAAAAAAAAAAAGAGGCTGCATGTGCCAGCTGCCTCCTTGCTTTTATTTAACTCTCTCGAGTGTTTCTAAGTTATAGGAAGATAATTCCTGTTTTCTGGAGATTTCCAGCATCATGGCAGACTGCTACGCGCTGGGAATTACAAAGTTTTCTCTTACTTCTAAGCTGAACAGGGCAACAACAGGYGGCCGGGCTCTTATCACCTCACGGGCTGCTACCGGCGAGGGCAGTAAAACCCAACCGCACTAATAACGAAAGCGGGCAACAACGGCGCGGATTAAGCAGGGAAAGGCGAGACGGTGCTGAAAGCTGGCGGGCGCCGAGCGCGAAAGGAGAGCGCAGGACCAGCTYTATCCGCCTTCACCCGTTCAACACCCCGCGCACGCCGGGGGAAGGCCCAGAGCTGAGGGGCTGTGGGCGCGCACTGGGCGCCGCGAGGCGGCTGCTGCAGGCCGCCCGCCCGCCTCGCTGCGGTTGGGCCGGAGGGCAGAGCGCTCCGCTCTCCATCCCTCCCGTTCCCGTGCTCGTTCCCGTGCCCGTGCCCGCCTCGCGGGCCGCGCTCCGCCCGCCGCGCTCACCGAGCCCCCGCCGCCGGGCCCGCCGCCGCCGCCGCCATTTTGTGCACTGTTTACCGGCGCCGTCTCGCGAGAGCGCGGCGCGCGTGCGCACTGCGCGCCGCCCAGGCGCATGCGCGCGGGGGCCCCTGAGCGCTCGCCCCGCCCGCGGCGCCTTGAGGGGACGGCGCGTAGCCGCTGCCCTTACCGGCGGCCTGAAGGGCCGGGGGTGAAAACGGCCGCTTTATTTATTATACAACAGAGCACCATTGCTCCCAGCCGCGGCTGCTGGAATTATAATGAACACGGGATAGGAATATACTGTCCCTGTTCTCCAATAGAGTGCCCTACTGATCAGGGAAAATGATCTGAAAGGGGAAGGATACTTAGATCCACACAGCCACRGCTAACACGTGTTGTATGGCTTCAATAGAGCAGCAAAACTAATGATTCCCTGATAAAATAGAAAAGGATGAAGAATAATTAATAAAGATAGCAATTACAAATATGTACATGAGAGCTTATCTGACTCACAGACTAAACGCCTAAAACTAATGCATAATAAAGGATCACATGAATAATTATATATACACATATAGTATTAGGTAGATCTATACATAAAGGCATCAAAAGCATGAAACTTTCTTTAATAACTTTAACAACTTCTTTATTCTCTCAGGAAAAGGCAATATATTTAAACCAAAACATTTATTTATTATTTTTCTTCAGCTAATCTGTTTCTACATTCTTTATTCAATGCTTCTGCCATGTTTCAGATTGCTGAAGGMGCATTTAAAGCATGATCAAGGACAGTCACGCTTAGAATAAGGAAGAAAACAAACGTATCTCCAAATAGCTTTACAGCTCTGCATGACCTTTTCTGTCATTTTAATAACTTTCTGTACACCTGAATTTTGAAACGTACCTTAAATTAACACCATTCAAAAAAACAAAAATAACAAGAAGTCTAAAGGTGTACGGTTGAAGAATATGAACATTTGCAGTTTAAAGATCAGGAAAGCACTAAACTCCATGTTATAGAAATTTAACAGTTGATTGGGATTGTTCTTTTTAAGCAGCATGCTTTTGGATCTCTCTTTGGACTGTTTTTGAAAGGCTTAGCGAATTCTCAAATCCTGCTGATTTAATTTGAAATCATTTAGCATTATGCGAGAGACATTCATGATCAGAATTACAACTCTACACATTCTTGTCCAAATTCATTAAAGACAAGGGTGAACCAAGATTATCCTCGACAAGACCGGCTGTTTGTCCTAGATGACAACAGAGTGGAACTACTTAACACAAATAAATAAACAGAATGTAGTCTTCACTAAATTCAGGATGCTCTAAACAGTCTTGCAGCACTCAGATCACTTCTCAACATCTGGATATTCCTACTTCAGTTTGCTTGTTAAAGCTTCTTTGCGTATAATTCGGCAGAAAAACTTTGCGCACCAAGCCCAGAACCATTCGGGTAGCTGTTCACCCAGTGTGAACTGTGGAGACAGGCAAGGAGAAGAGGGAAGAGAGGAGGAGGAAAGGGAAGATCATTTTTTGATAATTAGAAAAGCAATTTATCAAAATTACCACTAATGCACTGAAATATTTATGATATAAACTAAGATTCAACAAAATGAATCTTCTCTTCAAAAATACACGGTAAAATGAAAGCCCCATCAGCAACATTACGCCCCAAAAATAAGCTACTGTGTGCTTTTTTACTAAAAACCTCTTTCCTACTTTTGCTGTGCATTTCCAGTAGAAACCAGACTCTCTCTGATCTTTAAAAACAGTTGTCCGAGCAAAATTTACTAAAGCAGAATGAGTAAATATGGGGCAATGCCTTTAAGTCTTTGGCATTGTACTGTACTTTTTTTTCCAGAATATTTCCATAGTTTCCGTCTTGACTTCAAACAAAGTAAATTGCTTGCTTCTACTGGCTAACACAAAAGAYTCTAACAAATTGTTTTACCTTTATTGCATGCTTCCAGTAACCAGTAGTCCTTTTGGAGAGCCCAAGAGTAGAAATTGCTTGACTTGCGTATTCTTCAGCAGAAGGAAAAAAGAAAGATCTTTTTGATGCAACACTACTGCACGATACCATTTTTGTAGCAATTACGAATGGAGTTAAACTCTGGACGAAGATTCCTTTCGAGGAATACTCGTAATATAGTGCTCTGCTGAAATAGTCCAAGTAGCTCTAGGGAAATAAAAGCAAAATAGCTGCCTCAGTTTTGTGCTTATAACACTTCAGTCTCACTATAGTGTTTTATTAAAACTACAGCAAAGTTTCAGCATATGCATGAGCATAGACTAAAAAAACAGAAATATACATTTATATAGTATTTCTATTTGTTGACATTTGTTTGCAAGAACCTTGCAGCTCTTTAGTAACTTGCATGAGAAGGTGATAACTTACCTCTGATGTGCATTTATCAMAACAAACCCGGACAATTTCTGGTTAAAAACACCATGAAAAAAAAAATGCAGCAAACCCATAGATCTACTCTTCAGCATGTACCATCAAACGTCACACCCCAACTTACTTTAGAGGCTCCATACACTGTCAGCATTGGTGTTGGTTGGCAACAAGACGCAGAAGACACATTCACAATGGCCCCCTTTTTCTTCTCTAACATGCCTGGCAGCACAATGTGCACCATCATGTTAGCAGAAGCAATATTAATATTGATCATGTCCCACAGCATATCCTCAGGCAGGTTGGTAAAGTAGTCCGGGTAGGTATAAAACAGTCCTACATTATTCACCAAAATTCCTATTTCTCTGTCTTTCAGGCCCTCTTTAATGGGGAGATAAGCCTCGCGTCCCTTGCTGAAGTCAGCTACTATGAAATCTGTTTCCACGTTGTAGGTTTCAGCTATGCTTCGAGACACAGCCTCCAGCTTCTCCTTGCTGCGGCTGATGAGGATGATGTTGACACCTCGCTTGGCCAGCTCTTCAGCATATGCTTTCCCAATACCATCTGTGCTACCTGCAACAGAAAATAGCAAAGATTAGAGCAAGCCCAGTCTTCTGCTTCTACAATTCTTATAGTTATCACCTTCTCAAAGGGGACACCACCCTGCATCTCAAAACCACAACGCTGAAGACAACGCTGTCAGCAGGAACCTTCTGCAATGGCCCCTTGAAAGACTTTTAACATTTCAATATCAAGAGCAGAGAACTTACAGTAGAATGTTAGCAAAAGGGAAGGATGTCAGAGAAACACAATTTAAATGTTGTTCAGACTTCAACACCCATATAAGTGCCAGGTGCATCTCTGTGTACTTTTGTTATGCATTCTCATGCTAGCCAGTATTAGTTTGGGGTCTATCTTACAATTTTAGGGAAAAGCTGCAGCAATCATTGCAGTCTTCTGGGTGACAGTTGTTCAAATTAAATTGCATTCATTCTGCAGCTGCATCTCCAGTTAATACAAGCCCCAGCTTGTGACATAAAACTTACCCAGCAAAGTAAGACAATGAGGTTTACAGTACTCCCAAATTCTGGTAAGAGGCTTCTTCATGCATGAGTGGTAGGGAAGAGAGATCAATAACCCATTTCAGGGGGCAGGTTAACTCTTCCTTGAAGATACACATTATATAAACATAAGTAAATACACTGCTCGAGTCRCTTACCAGTTACTACAGCCCACTTTCCATAGCGCTTGACAAGATCGATCTCGCCAACCACCTTTGGAAGGAAATGGAGCCTGAGGAGACTGTAGCTGTTCAAGGCAAAACTGACACACTTCCTAGCTGCGTACCAAGCTCCAACGAYAGCCAGAGCTTCGACGTAAAAACTGCAGGTACGACCGATCTCTCTGTACAAGAGGGAGAAACGATCCACCGCAGCCATGGTAATCATAAGCCTAGGCAGAAGAGGGGAGGGCATTTAGGGAAGACACAGGCAATTGCAATCTCTTTTCCACCCATAACAACTTTTCATGATTCCAGAATGACCTTGGAGATTCTACATATGTTAMAATCCATTCACAAATGTATAGTACCATCTTGGGGGCAAAAAGCACACAATGTACAYCCAGGCAACCTTCTTAAGTTTGGATTATCTCCTACTATTATTTTCCTTAWCTCTTAGGAAAGGTGTATGTTTGACCCAAGCATGCAAGGCTAAAATATATAAATACATATTGCACAATAGGGTAGGCATGTCTGAAATAACTACTCCTTTCTCAAGGTTAAAAGACACATGCAGATATGAAGACATATGCAGTCATAAATTGTGCTACAAGAAGAACGACTTAATTACAAATAATAATTAAAGCATAAGAAGCTGCAATAAGTTCATTATGGCAAAGTAGTATGACACATTGCTACTTCAGGCAAAAAGCTTTGGCAGCAACTGAAGTCTCATTAGTTACTAGTTGTTAAATATCTTTACTGCTTTATTCTCTTTGTAAAGGAGGACAACTTATTTCTATCAAAACTGCCATTTTCATCCTTCTCTTTCACCACATAGACTCTCTAAGTAGCCTTTGTCTCTTTAGGCTTCAAATCAACTTCTCTCTCTCCTAAGCTACTGAGCAGCACTCCTGACACTAAAAGGAAATAGTGTCATCTCTGTCATCATCATCAAGGATTTCACTATGCTACTCAATTACAATATTGTAAATAAAACAATTCAGGTCTAAGCAGAAAAGGGAAATGCAATAACTGAATCTTAGTTTTCCTAAATTTATCTTATTTGCAAAATAGGCTGGGACAACCAGAGGGAGAGAGCTCAATGTACAAGAAACAAGAGGCTCTTTGAAGCAAGAAAGTGACACAAGAGACAATGAAATCACAAAGATCAAAGTGTAGCTTTAGTCCTTAGAGTCATTATAAACGGCTAATGCTTTCTTAACTCGTGTTCTGTATCCACTGCACCCTTCTAATCTGAAAATACTGTGTTCCCAAACATTCAGGTCATCTATGGTACCTTGGCCAGGGGCCACTGCCGCTGACAAAACACGCCAAGACTAGTATAAATGCAACAGCCACCTAGTGAAGAAGGCTACAGATGCAATCATGGTGTGAAGCAGCACAGGAGAAATAACCAGCTCCACCATTTAATACTACGTTGTGAAAACTGGCAGAATATCAACCCCAGGACATCACTGTTCCTCCAAGAGAACAGAGGCTTCCTACATCTTGCCAACAAAGGCCCAGTGTAGCAAACATCCAAATTTATTAGCCGAATTACCCAATGGTTATCAAATAGAGACAAACCTCCTGGAGCAATCACGTGCTCACGGCAAGGGCGGGTGGCATTTTGCAAGCAGCAACGAGAGCTCYGCTCACACCTCGCGCCAGCCACGGCCACCCTGGCCCATTCAGGACAAAACCAAACCCAAAAACGGGATATTCGGGCTTAGCCTTGCTCCTCCACCCGCTGTACTTACCCCTGGGCCTTCAGCCCTGGGCACACAAGCTGCTTCCTCGCATGTCCCTGCGTGGGTAAGAGGAGACAGTTGCCGGCGCTCCCCCCATGTGTCCGGGTTATCCTCTCCCCTTCCCGCCTTTCCCCTTCCTTCTCCCACCCCACCCTCTTCCCGGCRCGGAATTTACAAATTCCCGCAAACCGCGGGAATTTTATAAGCGAGAAACGAAGAAAACAACGAAAAAGACATCCCCACACATGAGACAGCCGCCGCGTCGCCTCGAGCAAACGCTCGGGAGACCACCCGCCATTTCACCCGGACGAGGCGTCACGGTTCCCCCCCGCGCTGCCCCGGGCCTCAACCCCGCCGTCCGCACGAGGGCTAGCGCTCCTCGCGGTAACGAACCGTTCGGGAGCGGAGGGAAGGGAAGGGGAGCGGAGCAGCCCCGGAACACGGCGGCCGCTCCGCGCAGGACGCCCGCGCCGCCGGCCCCGCCCGCGCCTCAGCGCCGCGAGAGCGGCCGCGGGGGCTTGTGGGCCGCGCGTGGCGTCGCCATGGCGACCGCGGCCGTTAGCGGCCGTTAGCGGCGCGGTTCCGCCCGCCACGTTCAACGTCGCCTGCTGCCTGGGACGGAGCACAAGCGGCGCCGGCTCCAGGTTTGCACCGCGCCGTGGGGCCGTGCCCGGAGCACCCCGGCTCTGCCTTGTGGGACCGGGGTCTTTCCTTTGGCTTAGCACGGCCTAAACCAAAATAACGGTGCGGGAGACACGTAAAAGCGCCACCATCCTCTACCCCGATAGGAGAATAAAACTCCTCCTGACAGCTCTCCTTCCTTCCAGTGCCAGCAGAATAGGGTGCCCCAATAACCAAGAGCAGCCCGTGGCAGAGGCTGCAGCCTCAGCCTGCCTGTTTTGAAGGGAACAACTTGGTCTGTCCTGCAGAATTGATCACACTCCTCTCTGTTAGGAGTGAGATAGGTCACAGAAAAGTCTAAGATGCTCCTCTCCCACTTYATGGTCTCCATAATGACTAGCCCCAGACTCCTAATTCCACTCAGGCTTCATAATATACCAATACCAGCCTCTTTACCTGTATTGCCCTGTATATCTTGTATTTACGTGTATCTTGTATTTACATGTATACCTTTAGACATCCTGCCTGGAGATTGTGCTGCGTGTCACATACTGACCCACATTGGTCTAGATCACCCAGCCTGCCATGCAGCCGGAGTGTGGAGCCCCTGATGGAGACCCTGGAGCAGAGGCTCCCATGCAAGAGGCATCAGGAGAGGCTCTGAATGGCACCAAAAATGAAGTGACCCAAACAGAAAATGAAGAGGGTTCTGGGGAAACAGGTAAGCTCTTCCAGCTGCCTCGCTAGGCAAATATTGTGAATATWTGACAATTTTTGTGTGCATATTCTGTAGTTTACCAATGTAAGAGCTGGATTTCAATTCTCTTTTTCCCCACTCTTTTCTAAGCGCCAGAACTGCAAGTACAGCTAGGAGGTGCAGAGAAAGAATCTGAAGAGAAAATTATTGAAAACATAATTAATCAAAAGCAGCCTGAAGATGTTTTGAATGAGTATAGCACTGGAGACACCATAAGAGTGCAAAATGGTAAACTTGTAGAAGAGCTAAGACTAACAAACATCTGCAGTTTTTGACATAATGCAGATAAGCCATTACATGCAAAATTAGCAKTCATTAACCTCAAGTTAGCAGTAATTGAATGTGATGTATAAGAAACGTCCAAGAAGTGTCCCAGTCTGTCCAAGAACTTTGGTGCCAGTACCTTATTGTCACTGTATTATAACAATCCTTCTTAAGGTGAATGGATACTGCTTCTCAGAATTGAATATCAGGACAAGAAATGCRTTATTGCAGTATTTATATCTTATTTCACAAAGCTTGCCTTCAAAAAAAGTTACCAGTTTCAGTAGAAATGTCAGCAAAAATCTTGGTTAGAACACTTCTCTTTTTTTTTCTTGAAATGTATATTCAAGTGACCGGAACACATCAACAGAACGAACAAAAACCAGATGGTGATTCCAAATCGATAACCAGCTCATTCAGTCAAAAGAAAGATGAAAAGGATGGCTGTATAAGGTAATTTATTGGTTATTAATGTTATTTATTTTAATCCAGGCATCATTCATCCTTCAAAAACCCCACTCTGGGTTTTGCTGTCCACCTCTCTGCCATYTGCAGCTTCCAGCCTCTCTGGCTGACGTCAGCCACTGTAGGCGACTGGCCCAAATTCTTTGCTCGTGGAGCCTCTGCTCTTTCATGCTGTTCACACAGTTCACACAGCTTTTTGCTCTCTGCCTCTTGCTGAGTCCCTCAGCCCTGCACTGTACATCTGCAGCACTCAGCTTCATTGATTAGTCTTTTCTGGCTTCTCACTTGCATAAATCCTCAAAGGGATGGAGCTGAAGATTAAGCAGTTACCACTGAATAGGTATTATTCATGTTCCTACCATGGCATTTCTAACCTACCACAGCTGTGTATTTTGTATTGCTGCATGGTATTTCARCGTCAGTGTTTCATTAAAATGTTAGGTTGATAGTTATTGATTTTCTAGACTGAGATCCTGATTCTGCATAGATGTTAGGTAGTGTCTCTGCCACTGAAGGTCCCGCATCAAAACAGCAAGAAATGGAGGGAACAATGGGAGGGGAAGGAACAAGAACCTACGATCATTCTTCTGTTATCCAAGGAGATAAACTCTCTAATTTCATACCTACTTTCCAACTTGCTCCCCTCTTTATAGAGGAGCTCTTTACTTGCTCACTTTTCTATATATATAGATGTAGGAAGAGCCTACGTGGTAACACATTTTAAAAATAAAAATGGAAAGCCATTCTTTGAAAAGAAGAAACCTACTGCTTGCTTATTTTAGTAGTATAATAAAGAGTATAGTCTTGAAATTTGTAGATTTTCTCTTATATAAAAGAGCCATTAATTATGTTGTATTGAATTGCGAATAAAACAAGATTTCAGAGTGTGCCCTGAAATACATGTTTAGTTTGTCTCTTCTTCCCTTTTTGTATTTCAGAATGACAAAAAAGGTCCTGCGAGACATCTGTAAGCAGCAGAAATTGTACTTGACCCCATCCTTAAACGATACACTTTACTTGCATTATAAAGGTAAGAGAGCCACTGTGTCTTAAAATACTGATCTGGATCACATTTGAAGGAAAATATATGCATTCTTCATTTTTAAATGTGTTTTTGTAAATAAACTATTTTCCATCTTAGGATTTCTTCGTACACTAAAAATAAAAATGGCCRAGAAGAAGGCAATACTAAATACATGTGAGGTTCTCCAGTACTAATGAAGGAGAAAATKAAAAATTTTACAGGACCTACATGTTTCTCTGGTTATGTTGCCATCAATTTGAACCCAAGCCTTCCCACCAAGTGTACCAGCAGCACTGGTTTCATGGAAATGACTCTTCCAAACACTGATGTCAGCAAATGCAGTGTTATCTAAAGATATTTTACATGTTTTTTTTTTTTTTTTTTCTCTTTTCTGCAGGTTTTGACCGTCTGGAGAATCTTGAAGAATATACAGGATTGAAGTGCTTATGGCTGGAATGCAATGGCTTAGCAAAAATTGAGAATTTGGAAGCTTTGACAGAGTTGCGCTGTCTCTACTTGCAACTGAATTTAATTAATAGAATTGAAAACCTGGAAGCTTTACAAAAGCTGGATTCYCTCAATATTAGTAACAACTATATCAAGACCATCGAGAATCTCTGTAAGAATTGCTGGTGCAACATCTAACGTAAAATGCACTCATTTTCCTAACCTTTGGCTGTTTTTAGTGGCAATAGTTTTCAGGGATTTTTTAAAATTCATGTTAAATTCTTGTACAGCATCTTATACTAAAATCCRCAAGGCTTCTATTGAAGTCAAACCTACGTATTTTCCACTTCCAACAGAGGAGAAAATGGAAAAGATGTAATAATTTCTCACACATGGATACCTCAAACAAGTTTTTCCACRCTTCTTAATATTGCCTCAGTACTTACCTGTGTTGCAGACATGCTGCCAATCCAGTTTTTGCTATTTACAATTAGGATTTCCTTTGGCAGTTGCAGACTTGATTACCAAATCTCTTACATCCATGAAAGGATTTATCCCATCTTCAGCAGAAAATGTGAAATAATTTCTCGATATAATCATTTCTGTACATAAGCAGTAACTTGAAAAAGATACTCTTGCTTTTGTACAAACTCACTAGTTTGAAACTTGAATTAAATGACCAACCATCTTAAAACAACCATTTTTCTAGTGGTGGAGGAAGCAGCTTTGTAGGAATAGCCAATAAATAGATGTTGTAGATTCAACAAATATGTAGAAAACTCCCCAYAATTCAGTATTAAACAGTGATGTTTAAAGTGCAATTTTCTGCTTTCTCTAGGCAGTCCTTTGTGAAGGAATGACTTTTACCTTCCCTTTAATTGTACTGTTCTTRTCTGGCAGCTTGCCTGAAAGTCCTGCACACTCTGCAGATTGCACACAACAAATTACAAACAGTGGAAGACATACAGCACTTGCAAGAATGCCCAAGTATTTGTGTCCTCGATCTTTCCCACAACTACCTAGATGATCCAAATATTATATCTGTTTTGGAGGCCATGCCTAATTTGGTAAGCAGAATATAGCTGAGGGATTGTCATTTTTATGAGTGAACATCCTATTAAATGGTTTTACCAGTATCTGATAGGTCTGTGGTCCAAGGCAAATACTATTAAAAGGGCTTCATCTGTGATTGTAGATTGGATAGTTTATTTATTTATTGTTTTTGAAGTGATAGCACATATGCAAATAGGTGGGGGTTATTTTTGCCACTCAAAATATTTCTTTTGGTTTTCTAGTGTGTTCTTAATCTCATGGGAAATCAAGTGATAAAAAAAATTGCTAATTATAGAAAAACACTTACTGTTCGACTGAAACAGCTAACCTACTTGGATGACAGACCAGTTTTCCCAAAAGACAGGTAAGAAACAGAGACAGACATCTTCACAGAGCAATAAAGCTCAACTGCAGCAAACAATATTTTCAAAGGAAGACTAACCACTATAATTTATTGAAGGCAATGATTTTGAGTACACTTGAGTACATTTTGAGTGCAGAGATCTGTGTTCAACATATCTAGAAAAAAACCACCTTTTTCAAGAAAATAAATTCTTGAACAAATGTTTTACATCAAGTCTGTAGAGCAGAGACAAATCATGTTCTCAACTGAAACTGAACAGATGTCTGGGAAAGCAGAGCCAAGATCAGCACTTCACATGGATCTCTGCTTTTGCAGTTATTAGCATTTGYATATCTTTGCTTTGTTTCTTTGTAATCACATGTGCAAGATAAATGTGGACCAGTTGCTCAAGGGATTGTCAATGCTA